AGTGAGTGAGTGAGTGAGTGAGTGAGTGAGTGAGTGAGTGAGTGAGTCATAAGAAAAATTTGAATCTTGTTTTTTTTCTGATTCGATTGCTACAGTAAAAAAAAAAAAAAAGAGAATGAGAATGAAAAACAAAGATAAATATTGTAAATAAAAGTCCTGGCTTATCGGTTCTAAAAAAGTGTTTTTGGTTGTCCAGAGATTTTAATTAGTCTTTAAAATATTTTATAAGAAAAATGTAGTTTTGATTAAAAATATACTGGTACAGTATATGATTTGGAGAGAATACAATAGTCCCTCGCTACTTTGCGGTTCTTTTTTCGCTGACTTGCTCTATCGCAGTTTTTCAAAATAAGACTGGATATGACAAACAATGGCTGATTGATGGATGAGCTGTACAATCGGCATGGAATTTTTATTTAAAGTAAATTATTTTAAATTATTTAGCACCTGTGTGCAGCCCATAGATGTGGGAGAAGCTTCCTCCTGCAGCTGATCAGCTGATCTCCGTGAAGAGCGGAGAAGTGGGCGTGGCCCAGAGTGCAGCCGGAGGCAGGGAGCTGAAATCGTGGCATTCTGTACTTTTTTAGATCGTTTAGAGTTTAGAAACGTTGTTTAGAATATTGCAAGAGCGTGGGAAGGGTTAAAATGCCTTAACACACACATATATATATATATATATATATATATATATACATATATATACATATATACATATATATACATATATACATATATAAATATATATATACATATACATACATGTGTATATATAAATACTTACTTGTACTACTATTCCTACTTCGCAGTTTTTCACTTATCGCGGGGCTTCAGGGTACGGATCTCCTGTGATAAACGAGGGACTACTGTACTTGTTTTGTGCTTACTTCCTCTCATCTGCTAAGAGTAACTGTCAGGGTAATATTTTATAATTTAATAATAATTTGCATGAAAAAAAGGATTGATGTTAATCCCTTCACCTCACCCGTACAAATCTTAAAAAACAAAAAAATAAATGGGTAGTCATCAAATTTGCTGAGAAATCTCATGAAGATGCTTCTTAATAGTCCAGCAGAATGTGCAACTCAGAGATGGAGTTAAGACTCCTCCATCATCCATGATGCAACGTCTTACAGATGTTTCATTATCTACTTGAACTGAGTGAGCAGGAGGTGTTGCTTTCACGTCACTGTCGTCTCACCTCAAAGTCAGCTCAGAACCAGGTGAGTAACCATCACTGTTACCAAAGTAATTGATGCTCAGGTAAGAAGTAAACCAACTTCACGATGGTGAAACCCAGCTGATGTTATCTAACAACGTCAGGTCCTCTGGACGGATTCTTCTTTGTTGAAACGTTTTGTCTTTTTTACATGTGAGACTAAATGTTCCAACAAACCAGTCCACAGGACCTGACTTTACTTTGTTAGATTTGTCTACCTGGATTACTGAGCGTCATCAGGACAAGCTGATGTTACTTTGCGTTAAACACTAACCCTGAATGTTTAAGCTCCAGGTCTTGAGGCTGCTAAACCATCAACTCACATCACCCACCCACTCCCCCACCTTTTTCTGTTCAATTTTATGAAAGTGCTAAGATGAAAGATAAGTTTCATATTTTACACAGCTTTTACATTTTGGTTTCTTTGTTGACAGTGTAACATGTGTGTAGTCACTCAAATTCTATTTACCTCATTGTGAGATATAGTATGAACTTTGTTTTAAATAAGGGCCGTCATGCATATTTAGTGGTTCTCACCTCTTGACCAGGATGCTGGTGAGGGAGCGCTGGATGCTCTGTCTGATCTGGTTGTTGGGCTGAGAGGGTCTGGAGGAGGGGGCACTGGGTGCCGGTGGCACGAGCAGATTACGGGTTTCGTTCAGCAGGGATGGGACTGAAGAGAGCTTCTGGCCCGACGCTGAGTTGGATGGAGGCTGAGATACAGATGGTTTCTTTGGGATAACGTATGTGGTCTTTGTGACTATCAGGGCACCAGTCTCGTGAAGTCTGGAAGCTGAGGTGATTGGAGATTTGGAAGCTGGAGGCTGATTGGATTGTTTAGATGTAGACGGTGTTGCAGTATTTAAGTCTGGCTTCGGCCCAACGCTGCTTTCAGGTTCCTTATCTTCAGAGACGCTCTGTAAAGGAGCCTCCTCAGTTTTAGGCTGGGAAAAGAGAGAACCGTCTGTTGGGGCGTCCTCTGGACTTTGTTTAGAAGAAGCTGAGGCCTCACAGTCTGCCTCTGTTTTTTCATGGACTTCAGTGGCTGTTAAGACAAAGAAAAAGAAAAATCAAGGCGTTTTAAAAAGTGTTTCTGTTATTTGAGCCATAACACAGAGCGCAAGATGTTTTGCGTTTAAACGTAACGCTACTGTCTCAAAATCAACAATGTTTTTCATCTAAATGGTTACGAGTGAAATCTGAATTATGGTGTTTAAATTCAGAACTTTGGGTAAAGCACGTTTCAACAGGAAGTCGTGTAAACACATTTTTATGAAAAGTGCATTTAATATCATTCACGATAAATCTTTAGTTTCTCTTTAAATCCAACATGGAACACATAAATGCTCCAAAAACAAACGAAATAAGCCACAAAAAAGCAGTGATACTTTTGGATTTAATTGCTTTTTTTTTTCTTTTTGCATAGTAGTGTTAAATTTTGTAGTTCCAACTTAGCTGCTGTATGTTTAAATATTTTTTCTAATTTATTTAGCTGTAGTTGGTCGTGTCATGCTTAAAAGATCATGAAACTGCAGTTCCAACTGTGGTTCCAAAAACATGGCATCTTGTGTAAACCTGGTCCAGCTGATTTTAATATCCAATGAGAAAAGGTAGGGGCACTTGGTCTATAAAATAGATTAAATATTATATCAGGTACCCTCCAATGCCCAGTTATAAACTAAATAAGTTTATGTTACATTTTGGAGTTAAAAATCAGCAAGATTTTTATAACAAGTTGTGTATTTTACATGAATAAACAAACAAATTGCTTTAAAAATACAATTTATTTTTATAAAGCAATGTTTAATTTCATAAATTAACCTTTTCTATTTAATTTTCTTAAGAATTTATCTTTTATGTATGAAATTTTAAATATAAATTTTAATAAATAACTTGAACCTACAGTATAACATCTCCAAAGAACTAATTAAAATTGAGAAACGTTCTAGATTGACTTCATAACTTAATATTACCTCATAGTTGAAAGACGATTACTTCAAAACTACTAATAAAGTTCGGTCATCTTAGAGTCTCTTGAGTTTCACTGTAGTCCAAGTATGGTGCCAATGTTGAATAATGCTAAAAACTGACATTTGTATTGTTAGAAGTGAATATTTTAAGAACAGTTCAAGGGGAATGTATCCAACTTTTTCTGTTTATATAACTGGGAACCTTTTTACTGTAAACTGGTGAACAAAATACACTATTTAGATTAATAAATTACATCTTAGATGACACAAAAATCCCAGAATTTGAGTTTTCTTCTCCAAACTTTTTTTTTAAATTCATGCTGTGCATGTGTGATTGATACATGGTCAATGTGGTCAGTTTTAATCATGTAATATTCTGAACAATATTTATTCATTTAATTACAGTACTTGAAGTTTGTGTACTTACAAAAATCTTGGGAGAAGTAATCTGTCATTTGTACAAGTAGCACAGACAGACAGAGGACAAGTGCTTCTCTGAGGCGCTCACCTAAACTCAACATATTACCTTCTTTTTGATCAAAATAAAATCACACATGATCTTTTGTGTGCCGTTAAATACCGCACGTTCACAGATTGATAATTTCTCCTGATAATTGCTACTAAACTGAGATTAGCTGATATTAATTAGATATTTTGGGTGCAGCTCTTGGGAAAAAAAAAGTGAAATATTTTCTGTCCACTGTTTTAGCTTCTTGTAAAACCAACACAACTCTGTGACTAACATTTTCAAAACCTTAGATGCTTTGTGCATTCCAGTTATACACTAACCTAGTGGTGCTTTTAATTTCTTCAGTATCAGCTGTTGAGTGATAAACTACTGTCAGACTGAGACACTTTGTGTACCGTAAGTGTAAAACTTTTTTTTCCTTCTTCTTTCGGCTGCTCCCTTCTTCAGGAGTCACCACAGCAAACTAACTCGCACAGAAACACGGCAATTCTTTTTATGCCGGATGCTCCTCCTGACACAACCACAGACCACCGAGCTACCACAGCCTCTGTGTGGAGCGGAGCTGCTGTCCAGGGGGCCCGGGGGAGCAGATGGTGGGGGTCAAGGGCCTTGCTCAAGGATCCAGAGCGGGGCAAATGAAGGTGGAGACAGGGGTGGGTGTTTCACCATTCCCACTCACATTTTGATGTTGTTGGTAAGGAGAGTTGAACCAGCAACCTTCCAATCACAGGCCCACCTTCTCCAACGTCCGCGCCAAAGTGTAAAACATTTATTGCTCCTATTTGTCAAATAAAGTTTCAACAGTTGATCAAGTTACGAGAACAGAATTACTTTATACTGTATTTGTGTTAAAGTATATAAATTATTTCCAGCTTTCTAAAACTCCAGTTTTAAACACGTCTGCAAAGGTAATCTGGTTTTGGAAAAAAATAATAAAAATAATCTGAATGTAAATACAAGTATTAATACTAATAAAACCTTTCGTAACAAGTATAAACAGCTGTATCCCTGACCTGACATCAATACCCAGCAGCTCAGGAACGTTCATAATATCTGCTGTGACCACTTATAGATGTTAACCGTCTTATTTTGACCTACAACCATCAGCCAGCTGTGAAGATAAAACTGTAATAGGGCTCACGTTGGTGACGAGCCAAGTGTAATCTAGATCAAATAAACCCCAGTGATGGCACACATCTCTATGGGTGATAACTCAAAAACATAGTAATGCACACTACATAGATTATCAATGTAGCATGACAGGCTCGAAGAAGAATGTGTATATTTGATTTGAAACAGGTCTCTTGTAAATGAGTCCTCATGACTCAGTGAAACTAACCTGTATAAATAAAAGGTTGAATGTTTGGGGTGAACTTTTCCTTTAATAATGATGTCATTGCAGCAATGATTGACACATAAAAATGTAGTCTGTTGTAAAGATGCTACTGATAACGACATATTTAAGTAATGAAATTAGATCAGGCGTGTCTCAGAATTGTCCAGTGAGCTAATGGCCTAAATGTATGCACAATAATGAGGTGTTCACCTGTACTTATGTAAAACCTATAAAGGAAAACAACGCTTGCATGTCTCCAACCATTAGAAAATTACATTCAACTGGCAATGCAAAATGAACATTATATATATTCTGTATTTATTTACCAGTAGTAATAAAAATAAAATAAATGCATAGTTTATTTGATTTGACTGTGTATTGGTTTAAGTGTGGCAAAAAGCTGGACCTCGTATAGAAAACCCATCCAAGCACAGGAAGAACATTCACATATCAATGTTCTGAACATGCCTGATTCTGTACACGGTCCCAGTCTCTCACAATCATTGGGTGAGAGACAAGGTACACTCAAAAACTGTTTCTATTGTTAGACCTCTGAAGTGAAACCAGAAGTTGAAGCTGGAACAGGACCAACCTTTCTTGTCGGCTGGTTCCAGGACAAGTTTTAGGTCCTGTCCCATCCACTCTGGGCCCTTGAGCAATGCCCTTAACCCCATCTGCTCCCCCGGGCGCCCTGGACAGCAGCTCTCTGCTCCACACAGAGGGCTGTGGTAGCTTTGTGGTCATGGTTGTGTCAGGAAGGACATCCAGCGTAAAAATAATTGCCATGTCTTTGTGCGACTTAGTTTGCTGTGGTGACCCCTGAAGAAGGGAGCAGCCGAAATGAAAATAAAATAACAACAGGGCTGTGAATGTATTTGGCTCAAATCCTTCTGCTTCTATAATCTCAGACACACAGGATGATGTTGGATTTGGACTCTGTGAGGACCAAAAATCTCTCCCAGGACTCGTTGTTCTTTAAGATGAAGATGCTTCTTATTCACAGCAGTTATACATTTGGGGTCGTTGTCCTGCTGCAGTATAAATTAAGGACCAGTTGGAGGGTTCTCTGATAGTAAGGCAGTATTTGCTTGTATTTTTCAGCAATAAGGACTGTCAGCAAACCCTTTTGCAAAAGGGCACTAATCTTCACTGTTGAAACTTATTATTGCATTGCTCCCCAGTGAATTAAGAAACAAACCACTTTCTGCTACAGTCCAGAGTACCTGCACCAGTTTTGCTGTAAACCATGTTTCTGTAGTTTGTTGCATTGTTTCCTCATTGGGCGTTCAGTTTTCTGAAAGTCTTCTATAAAGACCACATAAATCAAATTTTTCCACACAGTACATGTGTGTCCCTGGGTCTGGGGTTTCTGCCAGTTCTGGGCCGATGACGCTACTAAACAACTTGATTCCAAAAGGAAATAAAGTGTTTTTCATCTGCCTCACTAGGTGTCGTTGGCTGAGCGGTTTGGCTGAATGGATTAATTCTGCACCTGAGTAAAATCCTACAAAATCCAAGACTTAGTGCTAGTATAACTATAGGAACAATGTAGTTTTGAAGGCAAAAAGTGGACATACAAAACATTGATTTTATTTAGATTTTTCTTTTGCTAGCTAAAATCACATTTTGTAAACTCGTAAAAAGAATTATTAAAATTAATATTTTCGAAAACATATTTGACTGCATTTTTCCATACCACCTAAATCTTTTGTACACATCAAATTATGCATGAGTGGATGCGAGGAGAAGACTATTTGTCTTTATATATATGAATATATGAAATATACATATGAAGAAAGCAACTCAACAAGTCCAACAAAATATTAAATGCTAAAATACCACAAGCTAGCCTGCTAATTTAAGGTATTTCTGCAAATACCTTAAAGTTCATGTGCTGAAATCTCACACTTTCTCAAAGGTTCTACAGATCTATTTCAGTTTTAACGACAGCCAACTTTACTGTTCACTGTGACATTTAATAAAGCTAACAAGTCCAAAGAAGTTATTCTTTAAATACTAATATGTTTTTCAAAATGTCAGGGTGGAAGCTTCACAACAGCAGGTCTAAATGTCTTTTTTGCTGATTTCATTAAATTATTCCAGCTAATAGTTTCAAATTCAAAACTCGCTGTCTATTTTTGGTTCACAAGACATGAAGATGAGAATTTGTTTGAGAAATCACAAAATAGATTAAACTTTTGCTTCAATTAGCACTCAGTTACACCATCATAGTGCTTCAGATAAGTTACTGATTCTCTACAAGTGGACTT